TTGAGGTCAAATGTAGAGCTGCCATGATATTCATTAATTTTCTCTCCCGAACCTCTGGCCAGGATTGCACATTTATCAGGCTCACATCCTTTTGGGACATAGGTCAGAAGCAGGGTACCATTGGCTAGTGTAAAAATTTTCACTGTTTATATCAGTAGTCTGGGGATTTAAATTTATAATTGTGATTCCATATGATATGCAGCTTCATATGGAAAAGCCTCTTTAGTTTTTCAGTTTGATTGAGAATATGTTAATCCTTTTTGTTCCCATTATTTTCTGCCATTATGTTGGATAACAATGGCTTCATTTAATTTGTGTGACATTAATTTTTAGGGAAAACTGACATGTGAGAGTATGGTAAAGCAAAACCTGCTTTGTCCAGGTTGACGTTTTGGCTCTGGCTGTTTTCTGTATTAGCTGATGTGTACAGAGAGACAGGAGAGGAATTCACCTTGGTTTTGAGTGTAGATGCATGGAATTATTATTATTACTGTTAGTTTCTGCCATGCATTCAGATATGTTTTTCAGCTTGCAGTATTCAACAAACATTTCAGGATTTTGGGAGAGAGTGAAATAGGGTTATTTCTCTGTACAGATTAATTGATTACGTTATCTTTTTCCCAGAATTTGAGATTTCTGTCTTGAAGGCATCTGTATATGATGGTCATATTTCAGACTCATCGAATAAGCTTAGAATTAAAGTTTGCTAGTGAATTAAAGCTGGAAGTGGGTTTACTGATTATTCCTTGTAACTCTCAAATAATGGAATTGATTGATGCTGCCCTTTAGTGTGACCCAGTGTAACACCACATAATTATGTGGCATCGATACTCACAAAAATAGGAAGATGGCATCCTGTAAATGGGAATCAGGAAGAACAGGTTAATGGTAGAGGAGGGCTCATGGGGACTGTCTGCAACAGGCTGGTGGTGCTTTTCTGCCTGCAGCTTTTATCATTAAGCTGGAAAGCACAAATGAAAGAATGACATTAGGAGCCTGTAAAGATTTCGATCTGTCACTGTTGGTGTGCACCTGTCTTTCATTCTCCCAAATACAGTGTTCCTGCCTATGTCTACGTTTGCCTCCAGCTCAGCACTCCGCTCTTTTTCGGTGCCTTTCATCTGCTGTGGATGGCTTCAAAGTGGCTGCTGACCAGCAGGTTGTCTCGGTGCCAGGCAAGGTCTTCTGTCTTGCACTGAGATCTCAATTGAGCTTCCAGCTACTGATCTGCTCAACCACCAGGTGCAAGCAGCCAGTGATGTCTGATAGTTAATAAGCGTTTGCTGCTAATCAGCTACTGCAAAATGCATCTAGGGCCACGTACAGCAGTGGCTCCGTAGCAGCAGCTGATCAGGTCTTGGAGATAATTGGTTTTCTCCTGGGAGGGGAACAGAGATAGGACTAGTTAATTGCCTCGTGGTAGCTGTGATTTGAAACACTGATTATCTGTGGTTACCAGTGGTGACCTTCTTATTCCAGTGTAAATGGAGCAGCACTGGTGATCTGGAGCTGGGACCAAGTAGAGAACTTCATGATTTAAAGGATACTGAGCAAGCTGTAAGCAGTGAACTTGATCATGTACCATGAACACCAGACACTGAAATGGTTCTGCTTACCTACCAGCTTTTGTCTGACAATATAGGAACAGGGACTCTGCTTTGGTATAGTGTTCTCTGCTCTCCATTTTACACTCCCTCTTTGCCTTCAAAAATTCCCGGGACAACTGCATCTGGGCTACCCAGCATGCAGAGGTGAGCTAGTCCAGTGCTGTCCGTGTGGGCTGCTGGGCCAAGAAGAGGCAGTCTTTCTGGGCTGTCAGTGGTCTCTCTTGTACAGGGAAGGCAGGCAAATTCTCACCTACCTTGCGTGGCAGGATGCATCTGGTGGTATGGCTGTGAATTGTTTGGGCTTGCCGTAAAACACAGATAGGACAGGTTGAGCAAGGACAGATTGAGCTAATATATGGTAGAAGGGCAGGATAGCAATGAGATAAAAACTGTTTGCAACCTTGTGTTTCAGTTTTGGTCTTCTGTGGAAAGGTCTAACATTAACTTTCACACCTCTGGCAGAAAAGCTTCGTGCTGTCTAAAATATTACTGCCAAAAATCCTCTGTATTGACACTCTAATTGGAAGGATGTTTTTCTCTCAAAACTAGCAACTGCTAAGAGACCTGGAAGACTAATTGAGGCTGTTACCTGCACTTTATTCGGCAGATGCCCTTTTGCAGTACTATAAATCCTAGCTTGCCCAAAGGAGCTTTTTAAATTGTGTTATGAGCTTAGTTAAAGTCAGTTTGACGTTCTTTCAACAGAAGTATTATGTGAGGTTGATGGTCTGTATTCCTGTACTTCAGCTCAGAACTTGACATTCATCTCTGCCCAAGCACACATGGTTTGTTTTCAAATGCTTTGCAAATGAATATTTTATTAGGTAGCTGTGGCCAATTGCTGCAGGATGGCCTTTGATAAGCTTTGTAGCCAAGTGGCTTTGGCTGTGTTGGCAGAGCCCTCTGGTGGGAGCTCAGCCTGTGCCAGCAGCAGTCGGTCCTGCAGGCAGCGCCACCCGCTTTTCCCTAAAACCATCAGCCAGACCTCTCTGGGCTCTGTGGTATCCCACCAGCTGATGGCTCAAGTGGTCAAGGGGCTCCTCTTTATCTCACAGAGCCCGTGGAGTGCACTTGGCTGATGGTGTGCTGTAAGTGCTTATATAATTTTAGGTGTTGATTTGCAAAAAAAAAAAAAAAAAAGGTACCGCTTAGTGAAAGTGAGTGACTTAATTAGGCACAGTGGGATATTTCTAAATCAAGAGCCACAGTCTTCCATTTCTGTTGGTCATTAATGCTTCTGCTAATCAAGGTAGTTGAGGAAAGGGCTTTTGTGTTTTAAAATACCAACTTACTGAGCATGAAGGAAAAATGTTATTACACTTGTCTAACCTAATAGTATTCAAACCAGAATGTGCAAACAGGTTTTGTAATCTGGTTAGATCCCTAAAGTGTTGATAGAATACAGGCCAATAACTCCACTGCAAGAAATCCAGCTGTTTGAGATTGTTGCACAAGTAATGCAATAGTAATAAAGGGTCTTTTTCTTCCTCACATGCTGGCCAGAGCTTTTAGCTTACCATTGATTTGAAACACTCACAACTGTGCTCGGTATTTTATCTTCATTAAAATAAAAAAAGAGGAACGTGTACCAGAGCTTAGAAAAGGCTTTTGCCTGTGGTGGTCAGGACCTCTTTCTGATAAAGTTGGCGAGTGGTAGCAACTCAAAGGCAGTCATATTTCTGTGCCATTTTACTTGTTTTGTAATGAAGCCTTTTCTTACGACAGACATACAAATTCTTTCAAAAGCTAAATTAACCTTCATGGCCTGTATTTGAAATGCCATTTCACCTTTGCTTTGAATTTACCTGCTCCATCACTGGGGTACAGCAACACAGAACTGCTCTGCTAAGAGATCCATTATGTGAGAGGCAGTTGCATGGTGGAACTCCTTGCTGCAAGTTGTTGTGAATTCCCAAAGCTGAACACGTTTCAGAAAGCAATTAAACACACTTCTTAAAAAAAGAATCGCCAGTATGACGAGATGCAGATGCTGCCTTTGAAAATTCCCTAGCTACATCCAAGGGAATGGGGTAGGAGTGCATGGTTGAGTATACTCACCCTCTTCCTCCTTACCCTTGGGTGAAGGCAGGATGCTGAAATAAACCGGGCTGCTTAGGGAGAGGGCCGGTTTTGTGGTTCATGTCATCCTCTGCTGTTAACTGGAGGAGCTGTGATGAGGGGAATACCAAGCTCTTTTTGATGGATGAGGACTCACCCTCCTCCCGCAGCCTAGAGATGTTCTTTGTAGAGGGATATTGTTTTCAGATGAACCTTCCAGCTTACCTGCCGTCTTATCTGGCATTTTCCATGGCCCAGTGGCTTTCCTCCCCTGTAATGAGTTTCTCTGGAGGCTTATTACAATTACACATAGGAGGCAGCACAAAGGCTTTTATTCCTTGCATGATAGCTGCTTCTTTCTGTTTGGTGTGGTTGTTTTTT